CACTCTTTCAAGCTGGGCAAAGAAAAGACTTAGCTGCAGGCTCTCAGCTGGAGTGTGGGCAATGACCCAGCTCCAGGTGTTGAGTATCTACTGAATGCATAGTTCTGGGCTAGCGTTGTGAGGGGAAGGCAGGAAAAGATCTATGCTCTGCATTTAGGAGTTTAGGGGACTGGTTGTCACTCACTGCCCATAGAATAACCAGGGGAAGGGGAGGAGAGGTGTTTAAAACAAATGATGCCCAGAGATTCTGATTTAATTGGTCTGGAGTGGGTCTTAGGCATTGAGCCCGAGAGAAAGAGAGCGAGAACGAGAGAGAGAGAGAGAGAGTGAGTGTGTGTGTGTGTGTGTTTTAACATGCTGCCCAGGAGATGCCAATGGGAAGCAGAGTTGGTTGAGAATCACTCTCTCTTAGACTGATATTAGTAGTTAAAAGATGGGGCTCGGGGAACACTTCCCATGTTCTCGGCCTTCCCTGAGTGTTTTACAAGTGTTGTCTCATTTTATTTTCATAACATCCCCAGGAAGCAAATGTGGCTGTTGTTCCCATTTTATTAATGAGGAAACTTAGAACAGTGTGCTCAGGGCCATGTAGCTAAAGAGGGATACATAGAGTTGGGATCTGAGTCCAGGTTACTGAACTCCAGATTCTGTGCCCCTAACCACTGCACTAGCTTACTTTTTTAGGTCAGTATTTAATTAAGTTCTAAATAATATGGTGGGGAGGCAAGGATGGTTCACTCAGAGGTGGGAAGTTGGTCTGGATCAAGTCAACCCAGGGGGTCCTGAGGACAATTATGCTGGAGGTTCTGGAGGTGAGTTTGTGGCAGCCTGGCTCTGCGGCAGTAGCCCCAGGATCTGTGCTCCATGGACACAGTGCAGGAGAATGAAAAGTCCTCCCTAGACCTGTACTCACCAGCCCTGTGGGATAGCACATCCCAGTCCCCAAGGTGGCTCACTGCTTCCTTGGCTTCTCTCAGTGTCCCCCCATGCCTGCCCTGACCTACAACCAAGACTCTGTGGTCCAGCTTGGGGAGGGGCTCTGGTGTCTGTGTTTACTGTGGTGACTAGCAAAGAAGCCTAGATCATTTGTCTGCCTTTGTTCTGGAAGGAAACGGTATACTCCCAGGAGACCTGACAAGCTGGGGGAGTCATTCCTGGCAGGCATCCCTGGACCTGGGCCAGGGCTCTAAATATGGAACGTGGGGCTGGGGGGTGAACTTTCCATGAACTTGTTAGATGCTCCAGAAAGATCCTGAGTGAGAAGAGAAGATCTCTATCTCAGTTTCAGCACTGAGCTGAATTTTCGGCACACCAGCCCTGCAGCATACCTGCCCTTCTGCACCAGTGGTGTGGAATATTTAGGGAAAATTAGGTTTGGAATCAAGAGTCAGCTCTGGCTGTGGCTGCCTGTGTTGAGGGTCCTGAGGCCAAACCTAGACTTGGCCCAGTGTGCTGTGGTTGACTGGTCATGCCTGCCCTGGTGTGCTGTGCAGAAGGCATGGAAAATCTGGACACTCAACGTAGCGTGGAACTGCATGGCGGTGCCTTCAAGGTCATCCCATGCCCCCCTGGATGTGAAAAGCAAAGTGGGGAGCCATGACCGCTGGCCTTCTCAGATGACCACTTGACTCCTCCTCCAGCAGCAGGCTTGCCCCAGTTTCCATGTCCCTTGGTCTGGGATGAGGCATAAACTAGGTTTGAGGACTTAGCTCTGATGCCACCCTTTCCATTCTATCCTGTCATCACTGAACCAGGCCCAAGGGGCACAGTGTTAGGTTTTCTGCCTCCTGCCCTATGGTCGGTGCTGGACAGGAGCTGAGTCTTTCAGATGCACCCAGGAACAGCACTGCTGAGGGCAGTTCAGAAAAGAAAGTTGGACCTTCCACTTCTGAAGAAAGGTCTCACTACATTTTTCTTTTTAAAAAATTGTAACTTGAGAAACATGTAATATAGGGCTGGCCCTGTGGCCAGCGGTTAAAGGAATCAGATCCTATATGGCTGACTGCAATTCAAATCGTGGACCTGGCAGCTTGGAAAACACACTGGGTGCATGTAGATGCATGCCCAAATCCCAACATGATGGAAAAATAGAGAATGGATTGTGACATGACCATACCCATTGAGGGCACTTTCTCCTTCTCTCTCTCTGGCAGGGACATGCACCTTCTGGCAATTAAAAAACAAAACAAAACAAAACGAAAATAGAAAACCAGGGTTAGCAGGTGGCATGAAGGTAAGATTCTGGATTCCACATAGCCAATTGTGTGGTTCAAGTCCCAGACCCAGTGGCTTGAAATACATTCTGGGAGCATGTGCATAGGTGCCCAAAATCTCAAGAAGAGAATGGAGAACAATGGATTGCAGCATAGCCATCACCCTGGGAGGGGATTTATCACTTTCCATGTCTCTGTCTCTTGAGCAAAGGCATACATCCTATAGCAAAAACCTAAAAAAAAAAAAAAACCAAACAAACAAACAAAAAAACAAACAAAAAAACTCATGGAGATCCTGTTTTCAGTTCTTTAGGATATATGTTCAGAAGTAGAATTGCTAGGACATACGATAGTTCTACTTTAAATTTTTGAAGAACCCTCACAGTTTTCCATAGTGACTACACCATTTTAGGCCTCATTGTTATTTTATTATTATTATTATTATTATTATTATTATTATTATTATTATTATTATAAAGAGTGATTTTTGCTATAGAGCATGTACATTCACCAGAGAGACAGAGAGAGAGAGAAAGTGAGAAATCACTCCCAGGGAGTATGGCTGCACCACAATCCTTTCTCCTCCATTCTGCATGCATACATGCCTGGCATGAGTTTTAAACTGCCGGGTTTGAGACTTGAACCGCAGTTAATCATGTGGGAGTCCAGTGCCTTAACCACTATGCCACCTGCTGGCCCATAGGCCTCACTTTCTAACCCTGCATTTGTGCTTTCATCTCTTATTTGTCTTTCTCAGAATGTCAGCAAAGTATTCCCATCCTTGTTTGACAGAAGAGGAAACTGAAGCTGGACTTGTCCAAAGTTGTCCAGCAACCTGGTAGCAGAGCTAAGACCTGCACTGAGACCTCCTGGCTCCTGCCTAACTCAAGCCATGCCAGACACTGTCACCAATTCACCCCCCAACACAGAGACCCCCTGGCAGTAGGATTGTGACTCAACAGAAAGAAGCCCCATTAAGGAACAGGCAGAGTAGGGAGCTACTCTGAGAGGGAGAGTCTGAACCCCTGGGGGACATGGCTGCCAGAGTTCATCCCTCCAATCTTCAGGGCTCAGAGGGCCTTCCCAACCTCCATGTGGGGTCATAAACCCCAGTGGGCAGGATCTGGAGAGCGGAAATGAACACAGAGGGCCCAGTGGCATTGCCAGGGTGCAGGAAGGACGGAGGGCAGCAAAGCTGCTCTTCAGCTCTGTGGGTGTACAAGCCCAGCACCACCACCTTCTGTTTGTTCAGAAGAAACAGAAAATCAGTTTGTTTATGAGCTATTGATTTATTTAATCAAACACATTTGACCTGGGACTTCCAGTGTATGTTTGACTTGGTTTCTTCTTTTCCTCATTTAACTGACAGGGAAACTGAGGTCTAGAAGAGGGTGAGAAAAATCCTAGGTTTCTACCTGCAGACCTCAGTTCTCCAGGGGCAGAAGCAGGTTTTCAGGGCCTGATGGTCCCCATCTCTGTCCACCGTAGGTCCAAGCTGTTCTTGGACTCTCATCCAGCAGCATCCTGGGAGCTCATGGCACCATCTGCAACTGAGGCCAGGTCCCCCCTGTCAGGGCAGAGTTGATCAGCAATCCAGAGGGGCAGGGGCTGGAGTCTGTTGGTTCAACCACAAAGTATTTTAACAACCTAAGGTCCCCATTTTTTAGGTGAGGAAACTGAGACCAGGAGACCACTGTGGGTAAGTCATAACAATAGGCCTTTGATTCTGGTCTGTTCTGACTCTGAGCCACATTTCTCTCTGCCCCAGGATCTCCATCCACGTGCAGGAGATGGATACTCCTGGAGAGCTGCTCGTGACACGAGGGGGCAGCCTCAGCTCCATGCCCCCTGCTGAGGCTCTAGCAGCTGCCCATCCAGGTGACCAGGACCCACCTGGGCTCAAATGCTGCTCCCAAGCAGCATCAACTGAGTCAGGAGAAGGGGCACTCAAAGAAGTCAGAGAGCTTCCTGCACTGCAGAAGACGAGCAGCGATGAGGCAGCAAAAGCAGAGAAACAAGGGCCTGGAGCTGAGGCCGATGTGGGACCAAGTGTGGCCAGAAGGGACAAAGGAAATGATACTGCTGGGGCCTCAGGTTTACAGCACCACAAAGACTCAGGAGCAAGGACCCCTGAGCCTGGGAAGGACTGCGCAGCTGGGGGCCTGGGAAGAGCTGAAGTGGAAAGGAGAACGCCCCTGGGTGCCGAGGCTGGTAGCGTGGTTCTGGGTAAGTGAGGCTGATGCCCAGCTTTTCATAAGCCCTGAAAAGCGTGAAGATTGGAGGCTCTACCCCTGGGGGGCTTTACTCTTTGTTTCATGCATATGTGTGTGCACTCTGTATCCCTAAAAAAAAAAATAAAAAAAAAAAAGAAGTTTAGGTGAGGAAACTGAGACCAGGAGACCACTGTGGGTAAGTCATAACAATAGGCCTTTGATTCTGGTCTGTTCTGACTCTGAGCCACATTTCTCTCTGCCCCAGGATCTCCATCCACGTGCAGGAGATGGATACTCCTGGAGAGCTGCTCGTGACACGAGGGGGCAGCCTCAGCTCCATGCCCCCTGCTGAGGCTCTAGCAGCTGCCCATCCAGGTGACCAGGACCCACCTGGGCTCAAATGCTGCTCCCAAGCAGCATCAACTGAGTCAGGAGAAGGGGCACTCAAAGAAGTCAGAGAGCTTCCTGCACTGCAGAAGACGAGCAGCGATGAGGCAGCAAAAGCAGAGAAACAAGGGCCTGGAGCTGAGGCCGATGTGGGACCAAGTGTGGCCAGAAGGGACAAAGGAAATGATACTGCTGGGGCCTCAGGTTTACAGCACCACAAAGACTCAGGAGCAAGGACCCCTGAGCCTGGGAAGGACTGCGCAGCTGGGGGCCTGGGAAGAGCTGAAGTGGAAAGGAGAACGCCCCTGGGTGCCGAGGCTGGTAGCGTGGTTCTGGGTAAGTGAGGCTGATGCCCAGCTTTTCATAAGCCCTGAAAAGCGTGAAGATTGGAGGCTCTACCCCTGGGGGGCTTTACTCTTTGTTTCATGCATATGTGTGTGCACTCTGTATCCCTAAAAAAAAAAATAAAAAAAAAAAAGAAGAAAGAAAGAGAGGAAAGAAAAGAAAAAGAAAGCAAATTTAGGCTCAGCTACAGTGATGTGTGCATTGACTCTGCTCCTCGGAAGCTGAGACTACATGGGAGGCCTGGGTTCCATTCCTGCCTCAATCTATGCAGGCGGGATGTGTTGGTGCATGCCTGTAGTTCTAGCTAACTAGGAGGCTGGGACAGGAGGGTTAAGACACAACAAGATGCTGTAAAACAAAAACAAAAAATTGTCCCATCTTTCATTAAAAATAATTTTTAAAAGGCAGAGACATTAAACCGATGTATATAATTACTCTCAGCCTTCACACCCAGTGAGCTGATTCTTATTCCAGGATAAGGAACGTGTGCAGAAGCTGTGACCTGCTTGCCATCCCAGTGGGAGGTGTCCTTGTGTTTTTGTGACCTACAGGCCTTCAACCCCTCCAGCCCCGGGGTATTTACCTTCCTTGGTCTCAGAATTGTCTGTAGGACACTCTGGATGTCTCTGCTGTTGGGAGCAAGCAGAGGGCTCCCAGGACAAGTCCTGAACAAAAGCCAGCATAAACTGCTGACCTCCTGCAATGGTGTCTCCCATCCCTTAGTGCACAAACTGGTTTAGGTCTTTGTGTCTGGTGTACGTTCTGGATTCTGTTTTATTCTTTACTCTATTTCATGTCATATTTGTAGATTTCATATTACCTCTGAAGGAGATAAAAATCCCCCCAAAAAACCCTAATTCATTAAAACAAAAACACCTTTCCAAGTGCTGGCTATCCCCTATTCAGCCACTCCAGAACTATTGTCCACCCTGTCCCCTCCAGAACTACTGTCCACTCTGCCCCTCATCCTGTGCTGGTGGTACCTCTGTGGGCTTCATCACAGGGTCTCTCGCCCTCTGGCTTCTGGTTGGGATCAGCTGCAGGAGTTGAGGGAGAGATAGAGGGTGGGGTGTTTTATTTTTCCAGCTGCCTTCCTCTCACACTCTTGTTGGTTTCCATGGTACTGCCTCATCTTTAAAAAAATCTCATCATTAAACTGTTTGATTACCCTGTTTGTAGTTCTAGCTAACTAGGAGGCTGGGACAGGAGGGTTAAGACACAACAAGATGCTGTAAAACAAAAACAAAAAATTGTCCCATCTTTCATTAAAAATAATTTTTAAAAGGCAGAGACATTAAACCGATGTATATAATTACTCTCAGCCTTCACACCCAGTGAGCTGATTCTTATTCCAGGATAAGGAACGTGTGCAGAAGCTGTGACCTGCTTGCCATCCCAGTGGGAGGTGTCCTTGTGTTTTTGTGACCTACAGGCCTTCAACCCCTCCAGCCCCGGGGTATTTACCTTCCTTGGTCTCAGAATTGTCTGTAGGACACTCTGGATGTCTCTGCTGTTGGGAGCAAGCAGAGGGCTCCCAGGACAAGTCCTGAACAAAAGCCAGCATAAACTGCTGACCTCCTGCAATGGTGTCTCCCATCCCTTAGTGCACAAACTGGTTTAGGTCTTTGTGTCTGGTGTACGTTCTGGATTCTGTTTTATTCTTTACTCTATTTCATGTCATATTTGTAGATTTCATATTACCTCTGAAGGAGATAAAAATCCCCCCAAAAAACCCTAATTCATTAAAACAAAAACACCTTTCCAAGTGCTGGCTATCCCCTATTCAGCCACTCCAGAACTATTGTCCACCCTGTCCCCTCCAGAACTACTGTCCACTCTGCCCCTCATCCTGTGCTGGTGGTACCTCTGTGGGCTTCATCACAGGGTCTCTCGCCCTCTGGCTTCTGGTTGGGATCAGCTGCAGGAGTTGAGGGAGAGATAGAGAGAGGGTGGGGTGTTTTATTTTTCCAGCTGCCTTCCTCTCACACTCTTGTTGGTTTCCATGGTACTGCCTCATCTTTAAAAAAATCTCATCATTAAACTGTTTGATTACCCTGTTGATATGAGCCCTCTGTTTCCTGTGGGCTGCACAGACCTGCCTAATGTCCTTTGCTAGACCATGAACAGACTGGATGTAGCTGCTTCTTCTTTTTTTTTTTTTTTGGAGAGGTTTTTGCTATAGGGCGCGTGCACTCGCCAGCCAGCCAGAGAGAGACATAGAGACAGAAAGCGAGAAATCACCCCCCGGGGGGGATGGCCACGCCACAATCCCTTCTCCTCCATTCTCCTCTTGGGATCTTGGGCACGCACGCACACGCGCCCGGCATGAGTTTTAAGCCACTGGGTCCAGGACGCAAACCGCAGTCGACTACGTGGGAGTCCAGCGACATAGCCATTATGCTAACTGCTGGTTCCCTAGATGTAGATTCTTGACCTTGCAAAGAGCACTGTCCTAGGTGGTAGGAGACCTGGGAATCCCATTTGTCACTCACTGTATGACCTTGGACCCAGCACCTTACCTCCCAGCTTCCTCCTCTGACAAATAGGTAGTTTCCGTAAAATGGTTTTTGAGAAAAAACTAAGATCGTATGCAGGGCAAAGGGCTTGTCACTGGCTGAACCAAGTGGAGGTAAATGAGTCTAGGTAGTCACCTCAGTCTAGGACTGAGAGGTGCAGGCTGCATGTAGGAGGCTCACAGATGCCTTGTCTCCTGCACAGATGACAGTCCAGCCCCACCAGCCCCTTTTGAACACCGAGTGGTGAACGTCAAGGAGACCTCGATCTCGGCAGGTTACACGGTGTGCCAGCACGAGGTCTTGGGCGGGTAGGTAGGCCATGTGCCCAGATGAGTGATGGGAGCGGGAGTGGTGGGGCAGGCATACCTGAGCTGGGTGCACATGGACAGTTCTCTGGAACTGGCTGGTGGTGCCAAGGTTGAGAGTGAGATGTCTCATATATGTGAAAGTAGATAACCCACAGATAGTGGGGTGGAGAGAATATCTCTAGAGTATGGGGCCCATGTGGTGTGGGTAGGGGAGGCATAAATAAATGCAGGAGGACCCATACAGCATGGATATGGGAAGCAAATCCTGGAGGAGTTAGGAGAGTCAACATGGACTTGGGTGAGACAATGTCCCTTAGGATACAGGATAGACAGCTCTGTGTAGGTTGGGGTGGAGTGGGGGATATGCAGGTGGTGTGTGATGAGGAAGATATTCCTGGGGTACAGGATACCACATGTGGTGTGTAGTGAGGGGGATAGTTCCTGAGGTACAGGATAGCCCATGTGGAGTGGATGAAGGGTATATCCCTGGGGTTCAGAATGGTGCTGTAGGGTGAGGCGTTAAACCTTAAGGTATAGGGCAGACCACACATTATGGGAGTGAGGACGTTATTTTCTAGGTTTCAGGATAGCTCACGTGGTGACCATGATATGTTCTGGGGTGTAGGACAGTCCACATGACATGTATATGAAGTAGGAGTAGGACCAGGAAGCCCAGGGTATGGTGTGACCATTGTGTATGGGTGGGCCTTTTGGGTTCTCAGCCTGCTGTGTCAACATGTCTGTCTTCATAGGGGCCGATTTGGCCAGGTCCACAGATGCACAGAGAAGTCCACCGGCCTTCCACTGGCAGCCAAGATCATTAAAGTGAAGAGTGCCAAAGACCGGGTGAGGCATCTGCCCCAGGCTAGTTGGGTCCCTCTGGACAAACTCAGGGCTCCTTTTCTTCCTTTAGAGCCTCCTGGGCCCACATTGCACCAGGCCCCTCTACACTGAGCAGGAGACCTGCTACCTTTCTGCCTCTTCTCCATGACTCCTATAGTGCAGTCAGGAAGTCACCTGTGCACCACTCAGTCTAGATCTACATGTCCACATGTGGATATCCAGGCAAGGCTCTGCCTGCAAGACCATGGACAATGAGGCCTTTTCCTTCCTGGGTTTCGTCTGTAAAATGGGCAGATTGAAGAAAGATCCTTCCTGTTGTAAGAATCTGGTTTGAGTGGTTAGTCAAGAGAGCAGGAAATGAAGATGGATTAGGAGTGTGCATGTGTGCGTGCATGTGTGTACGTGTGTATGGGTGTGTGTTTGCATTTTGTATACCTTGGGTGGGCTCTTCTTCCTGACCCATCTGCTTGGAAACCGCTTTCTCCTCTGGTTCCACAAGGAGGATGTGAAGAATGAGATCAACATTATGAACCAGCTTGGCCATGTGAACCTGATCCAGCTCTATGATGCCTTCGAGAGCAGGAACAGTTTTACCCTCGTCATGGAGTAGTGAGTATTTTGAAAGTGGGCCAGTGGCTCAGGCTGGGGCTTAGAGCCTTCATTCTAGACAAAGCTATGTCTCTCTTTTCTCCCCACTGGGACACCAGGGCCATGTCATCCCTCTTTGGCTTTGCTGCTTGACCTCCCATGTGGACCATGGAGGTCAAAGTCATTTTGTAACAACCTTGGGGCTAGTGATCCTGATTTGACCTGCAGGTATAAGTCGATTTGACCCTTACAATTTTTAGTAATTTTGAAATCATTGTTAACAGTTGGAAGTTGGGACATTTCACGTTAAAACTTGAATGTCTGGCTTTTCTTGAAGATGTAGAAGATTTAGGAAGGCTGGACCTGCATGGCCAGGTGGCAATGGTATGCTGGAACCCATGCCCTGCCTTTGTAGACAGGGTGGTCAGGCTTGCATTTGCCACAATTCCCACCATTCCCAATCACTCCTGGCAATGAGGCCAAGGGCTCGGAGACCAATTCTTGTGCTTGTGTTGCCGTTTCCTTCTGCAGGATGGAAGTGAGTAGAACATTTGTCTTGTCATGTCTCTATCAAAAGTAGGAAAATAAAAGACTGACTAAGGACTGTATGTTTTCAGAAAACTTTTGATTTGCCCACTTCAGCTTTTGGCTATGTAGATTCCAGTTGATCCCCATAGGAAAATGAATTTACAACTCTGGTCTAGATTATGCAGAGTCAATATACATGATCAACATTGAAAACCATCCCATCTTCTCTTTGATCCATCACTTCCTTTTTATCACCCATATTCTTCGCTGGGAAAGGGACAGAGCAAATATCCCCACAAAAGCCTTGATGGGAGTAGCCCTGTGGCCCACAAGGTATAACCTTAGGCTCACCTGGATTGGCCTCTTGGCTCCTGGTGACAAGTCCTCTGATGTCCACCTCTCCCTTTTGCTCTGGCAGTGTGGACGGGGGTGAACTTTTTGACAGGATCACAGATGAAAAGTACCACCTGACTGAACTGGACGTGGTCTTGTTCACCAAGCAGATCTGTGAGGGTGTGCATCACCTCCACCAGCACTACATCCTACACCTGGACCTCAAGGTAGGTTCTGCCTTGGGCCTGGGGTGGGCAGTCCCCCTGATTTCTGAGCCTTGGTGCACTTTCCACCCTGAGAGCTCTGTCAATAGACAAGGCTGGTGTACACTCTTGGTTCTGCCGTTTCCTAGTTCTGGAGTTAGGGCAGCCAACGCATGCTGTCTCTCTGAGCCTTGGTTTATCTGTCACATGGATAATTAATTGTACCTCTTCAAGTGTTATTCAAGAACTAATATCTATTTACGATTAGTTTTTTTTAAAGTTCATAAAGGAACATGTGCTTGTGGTAACATATTGACAATAGAGTAGTGTATAAAATACACAGTGAACATTCTTCCCAGCTAGTGTCTATGCTGACAGGTGTTTTCTATCAGCAAGCTGACATATTAAGTACACACAAAAGGTATCATGTAGTGTATCGCATTTTGTTTGTTTGTTTGTTTGAGAGATTTTGGCTATAGAGCGTGGGTGCTCACCGGAGGCACAGAGACAGAGAGAGAGAAAATGAGAAGTCACCCCCAAGAGGCATGGCTGCATTGCAAACTCTTCTGTTCACCTCTTGGGATTTTGGGCATTCATGCACATACCCCTGGAGTGAATTTCAACTGTCATGTCTGGGACTCAAACCCTGGTTAGCTATGTGGGAGTTCAATGCCTTAACCACTATGTCACCTGCTGGCTCCCCTTTTTTTTTTTTTTTTTGTCGTTGTTGTTGTTGTTGCTTTTTTTTTGCCATAGGGCATGTATGCTTGCTAGAGAGTCTCCTCCCAGTTCAAACTGCTTACATCGCTTAATATCCAGCATTCTCTTAGATTTGCAGTTGGGCTCAACACATTCAAGCCTCAGCACAATCTTCTTTGTAGTGTTTGCCTTTTCCCAGAAAACAGGCTTAGTCTGTCCACCATAGCCGCTCTGCTTCCTGTCATAATGCCGCTTTCCCTGAGCATACAGAGAATCCTTGCCGTTTTTGTACTGTGTCACTTTTTGAGGTTGGTGCTTGCTATACTTCCTACAGAAAGTCCGGTGGGTTTTAGGGATGTTCACCATGCTTGCAGGCCAGCTATCTGCACAGAAAGCTTAGAAAATACTTTGATGAACAAAAATGAAAGCATAGCATACCAAAACAGATAAGATATGCCTAAACAGGAAGGAAAATTATAGCTATATATACCTATTTCAAAAAAGAAGTGGCCCATATGTGGTGGTGTAGTGGAAATACATTCTGGATGCTAGAGCCTTTAGAGTTTTTCGATCAGGGTTCAGTTCCCAGATTGACATGTATACTTTGGTATATACACATTTGCCTATTATCCTGGCTGTCTGAAAAAGCAGGGTTGGAAGAGACCCTGTTGAGGTTGCCTGTCTTTCTACCTCTCTCTCATTAAAGAAATTAATAAATAAACCTGAAAAAAAAAAAGAAGAAAGAAAAGAAAAGGAACTAGCAGGTGGTGTAGTGGTTAAGGTACTGGATTCCACATGGCTGACTTCACCGCTTGAGTCTTGGATCTGGCAGCTTGAAATACATGCCAGGTGCATGTGTGTGCATGCCCCAAATCCCCAAAGGAGAATGGAAGAGAAGGGATTGTGGCATGGCAATCCCCTGGGAGTGATTTCTAACTTTCCCGCTCTCTGTCTCTGGTGAGTGCACTTGCCTATGGCAAAAACTTGAAGGAAGAAAAGGAAGAAGAAAATGTTCAAATCAATAATATAACCTTTTACCTTTAAAAACTAGAAAAAGAGGAGAAAGTTAAACTCAAAGCAAGCAGAATGAATAAAATAATAAAAATGAAAGCATATATACAAGCCAGTTCCATGGTACAGCAGTAATGTGCTGCTCAAGGGAAGCTGGATGCCACATGGTGACCATGGTTTAACTTGACAGCCTGGTCAGCCTGAGACTTGCTGGGTACATGTGCAAGTGCCCAGGGTCCAGCTCAATGGAGGACTAGAGGAAGGAGTTTGCAGTATGACTAGGCCCTGTGGAGGGTGCTCATCTCTCTCTCTCACTTTTTTTTTTTTTTTTTGGAGGGGGTTTTTCTTTATGGGGCGCTGCACCCTTTGCTATAGGGCGCGTGCACTCGCCAGACAGACAGAGAGAGACAGAGAGACAGAAGGTGAGAAATCGTCCCCCGGGGGGATGGTCATGCCGCAATCCCCTCTCCTCTGTTCTCCTCTCGGGATCTTGGGCATGCACATACACACGTGCCCGGCGTGAGTTTTAAGCCACCGGGTCTGGGACTCGAACCGCGGTCGACTATGTGGGAGTCCAGCAACATAGCCATTACGCTCACTGCTGATCCCTCTTACTTTCATATGTACACACATGCTCTATCATGAGTAAAAAGGAAAAACTTTTTAAAAAAACTTAGAGGATAGGGTCACCTCACGGTCTGGTGGTTAAGACAGCAACATTTTACAAAGCCAACTGTGAGGTTTGTATCCTGGACCCAGTGACTTGAGAAACATGCCAGGTACATGTACATGCATGCCCAAAGTCCCCAAAGGAGGGAGAGATGAAGGAGAGATTATGGCATGACCATTCTCTGAGAAGTGTGCTTTTTCTTCCCTTTTTCTCTCTTCTCTCTCTCTGACAAGTGCATATACCCTCTAGTAATAAAGTAAAATAAAATAAAAATTGGAGGATAATTATATTAAATAAAATAGAAAAATGATAAAGAAAATCAAGGAAATCAGAATTTGGTTCTTTGGGGGTTTTTTTATTAATTTTTTTTTTTTAGAATTTGGTTCTTTGAAAAGATCAACAAATTGGAAAATATTTAGCTATACTGCTCTTAAGAAAAAGAGAAAACTCAAATGACTTAAATCAGGAATAAAAGAGGGCACATCACTACTGGCCTTACAGAAATGAAAAGAGATCATAAGGAAATGTTATAAAGCGTTGCAACCATCAACTTAGATAACCTCGTGAAATGGACAAACTTCTAGGAAGACACATATTTGTATAATGAAAATAATAAAGTAGAAATAGAAGAGAACTTCTTTAACCTGAGAAAGGCTACCTAGGAAAACCCCACAGCTAACATTATACTTAATGATAGAAGATGGAATACTTCCTCCCTAAGATCAGGAATAAGACAAGGGTGTCCATTTTTGTCTATGAAATATTTTGCTGGAGGTTCTGACCAGGACAAGAAAGCAAATAAAAGGCATCTAGATTGGGAAGGAAGAAGTAAAGCTATCTCTGTTCCCATACGACATGATTTTGTATACAGAAAATTCTAAGGAGATTAAACTATTAGAATTAATAAACAAATTCACCAAGGTTTCAGGATATAACACAAATATAAAAAATTATATTTCAATACACTATCAATGAACAATCTGTAAATGAACTAAGAAAACAATTCCATTTGCAATACTAGCAAAAAAATAAAATGCATGGGAATAAAATTAACAAAATGAATGCAACACTTATACTTTAAAACTACAGAACAGGGGACCAGCAGGAGGCATGGTGGTTAAGGTGCTGCAAACCCTTCTCCTGTATTCTCCTCTTGAGATCTTGGGCATGCACGCATATGCGCCTGGTGTGAGTTTTAAGCTGCTGAGTCTGGGACTCAAACCGCAGTCAACCACATGAGAACCCAGCGACATAATCATTATGCCATCTGCCGGTCCTACCCAGCATGTTTTTTAAACTACCATATCCAGGACTTGAACTACACAGTCAGACACCACTGGCTGGACCTGGTCAATTGATTTTTTATAATGGTGCCATGACAAACATGGTGCTGGGACATCACACATGCAAAAAAATAAAATTGAACCCTTAACTCATGTCATTAACTAAAAATGGATCATAGACCTATATTTAAGAGTTAAAACAATAAAATTTTTAGAAGAAAACAGGAATAGGGACTAGCAGTTAGCATAATGGCTATGTTGCTGAGCTCCCATTAATCAACCATGGTTTGAGTCCTGGCGAGCGCATGCACTCTATAGCCAAAACCTCTTAAAAAATAATAAAAAGAAAAAAAAGAAAACATAGGAATAAATCTTTGTGACCTTGGGTTAGACAATGATTTCTTACATCTATCACCAGGAGAGCAAGGGAAAAAAAAGAAACAATATATATATTGGGTTGTTAGAAAAATCATGACACATTTTTACATAGAAAAACAGAAAAATACATAACTTTTTAGATGACCTAATAAATAAGATGTCATCAAAATGAAAAACCTTTGTGTTTCAAAAGATACTATCAAGAGAGTGAAATGACAGCTCACAGAATGGTAGAAAATATATTTTTTCTTTTTCTTTTTTTTTGGAGAGGTTTTCGCTATAGGGCGCGTGCACTCGCCAGACAGAGAGAAAGAGACATAGAGAAAGAAAGTGAGAAATCACCCCCCAGAGGGGATGGTCACGCCACAATCCCTTCTCCTCCATTCTCCTCTTGGGATCTCGGGCACGCATGCACATGCGCCTGGCGTGAGTTTAAGTCACTGGGTCCGGGACTCAAACCACGGTTGACCACGTGGGAGTCCAGCAACATAGCCATTACGTTAACTGCTGGTCCAGGCAGAACATATATATATATTTTTTTTGAGAGGTTTTCGCTATAGGGCGCGTGCACTCGCCAGACAGAGAGAAAGAGACATAGAGAAAGAAAGTGAGAAATCACCCCCCAGAGGGGATGGTCACGCCACAATCCCTTCTCCTCCATTCTCCTCTTGGGATCTCGGGCACGCACGCACACACACCCGGCATGAGTTTTAAGCCACCGGGTCCGGGACGTGAACCACGGTCGACTATGTGGGAGTCCAGAGACATAGCCATTATGCTAACTGCTGGTTCCCAGGCAGAACATATTTTAAAATCATATATCTGATAAAGGATTTGTGACTAGAGTATATAAAAATGACTACAACTCAGGGACAGAATGACAATTAAAAATTATCCAGAGAGGACCATCCCATAACCTAGTAGTTAAGGGATCTGGATCCCACATTACTAACCACAATTCAAATCCTGGCCCGAGTGGCTGG